TGTTATGTGGAAGAAAGATTAGGCTTTCTGCTCTCTTAAAGATTTATAGACTTGGAAGCCCTATACAGGGTTGCTATGAGTCAGAACTGACTTGACAACACCTAACAACAATAACAACAGCAGCATAACATAAATATTAAGAAATAAGTAAGGTGAGAGTCAGCAAGTGATGGAGCAAGTTAGCAAGTGAATCCAAACCCAACTTCCATACCCTGGCATCAACTTTATCAGGTAAAGCCCCCAGAATAGAGGGGACCCTGGGCCCTAAGAAGCAAGAGGATCTCTTTTCCCTAAAACAGAAAGTCATTGCCATGGTCCCTAAGGTCTTCTAGAACTTGTATTCACTTAGGCCAGGGACTGTCAGTACATCTTATCTACCCTCAGCACCTAGCCCATTGTTGATGCCTAACCTATGAACTGAGTAGAAGATATACTTGCACAGAATCAGAGAAAGGGGGGCAACAAAGCTGATGTCATTGAGCCTCGGTTCAGTCCCCAGAGGTCAATGGCATGTCTATTGGGTAGGAATAGCTTTGACCTAGTTAGCTGTGGTGCCTTATTTCCTCATAGCTTGGTGACCCAGCACAGGTGACAAATTCAGAGTTCATATTGTCTTTTCACTTCTGACCAGACAAAATGTCAATTATTTCTGGTCCTCCAATGCCCTAAAGATAGCCATCCTTGATATCTTGATAAGAAAGCACACATCAACTATTGTTCTTCTTCCCTAGTACAGAGCCAATGACCATGGTTCCTAACCAGGAACTGGGACATAGCTAGAGAAGAGATTAGACAATTCATAGAAATCTTTTTGAAGCGATGAAAATTAAATTATATCATTCATTTCAGTGAACAAGGTGAGTGATTTGTTGTGCCAAATTATATGAAATCAAGACTATACTACCTATATATTACATAAAAAGGGACTAAATAAAATTTTATGTACATGAAATCTATGTTAAAAATGTATTATAGGAATTACTTTTGTTTCAACTAAATAGCCACTTAGATGAACAATGGGGTAACACAGCTAGCTAAGTAAACATATTAGACTAATTCACTTTTGGCCCATTGAGTAGGCACAATATTTTATACCATTGACTATTAGCACAATGCCCCAAATGTTGCTATTCTCACCTCAATATTTTAGAGTATCAAAGTTAAAACAAGGCCACTGAGAAATGTTAGGAATCTTCTTTAAGCCTACATGTGAGAGCAGCCTTTTCCCCAGTTCCTGAGAAAGTGGCTGCTGGAAGGGAATAACTCACTAAAAAGGAAAAACAAAAAAGCCAACAAGGAAATAGGTGGTTTAAGGAAATAGGTTGTTTCAGGGAACTCAAGATGATAACTGAAGTCAGAATTCTGAGAATTCTCTCGAAAATTGTGAGGTGGCAGACTTCTAAGAAGTGAGTAGAAACAGTCTTTGTTTTGTATTTTTCATTAGGGAAAGCAGAGAGTTACCAACTTACAGAAATGTGTGAAATAAAGCAACATGACCTAGACTACACCAATAAAGGTAACTTGCCTTGCCGTCATCAAAGGCCCTCTTTATATGAACTGATGCTTATGCTGGAGGTGCTGTTGGAGGGGTGGGTCCAGGAATAAGGTCTCAGTTGGAGGTACATACTCTGGTGTCATGGGTAGTGAGACCGATGAAGAGCATGCCTTGGAAACATTCCAAGTGGAATGATGTCTGAGAGAACCCCACATTTCCTTGTTTGCTGGGGATGAAGACCACATCAGAGTGTTAAAGAGCAGGCAGGGTAAGGCACAGAATATGGTCACAAAGCCAAGAGGGAAAGAGAGCAAGTTAAGAGAAGTGATAAAGTCAAATGTGACGATGTCCTGTGGGCAGATGGGGCTTGGGCAGTGTCCACTCACTTGGAGATGCATCCCTGACAAGTAGGGAGGAGGGTCAGGAGGAGACTTAATCCAAAGGGCGACAGAATCCCGCCTCTTTGAGCTCCCTCTTCTCCAGCATCCCTTACTCACAAGTGCATCAGAAGTGCTCAGGAGTACTCTGCCCAAGGGTGAATGAGTTCCTCTGGACAAGGGCTGTGTCCCACATTCCCTTTTGTGATTTTACCAATCCACCAGGAATCTTGTGTAACAAGAGAATTCAAAACATGAATTTGGAAGTCTCGGGACACTTTGAAACATTGCTAACAGAAGAGTTAAAATGAATACAGAGAAATACTGTTAACTGATGGTACATTGGTGTTGTTGTTGTCATGTGCCGTGGAGTTGGTTCTGACTCATAGCAACCCTGTACAGGGTTTCCGAGGCTGTAAATCTTTACGGGAGTAGAAAGCCTTATCTTTCTCCTGTGGAACAGCTGGTAGTTTCGAACTGCTGACCCTGAGGTTAGCAGCCCGATTTGTAACCAGATGGTACATGGAGGGACTATAATCATTGTAATGAGACAAGGTATATGATTTGTTGAATGTAAAACTGATGATCTGCCCTGTAAACTTTCACTCAATTCACAATAAAAACTTGAAAAAAGAAGAGTTTACAGACCTATGAAGGGAGTAAGCATTTAATGTGGGAGATTTCCTTGTAGAAAATTTAATTGCTTTCTTATACCACTAAAAGGACTGTAATAATATTTGTACTATAATAGCAGCTGTGTGTGGAACTCTAGTGGTGCAGTGGGTTAATTGGGCTGAAAGGTCAATTGTTCAAACCCAGCAGCTGCTCTGTGGGAGAACGATGAAGTGGTCTGTTTCTGTAAAGATTTGCAGCCTTGAAAACCCTATGGAGCAGTTCTATTCTGTTTTACTGGGCGGCTATGAGTCAGAATTGACTCGATGACAGCGGAGTGGTGGGTGTAGTAGCAGCTGTACAAAACTTAGACTTCCTTGTTCAAAGAAAGAAAAGATATGCACAAAGTATGATCTGTACCAGTTTTATAACAACCTCAGGGTTTGGCATGAACATTATCACTGATAGGATACAAAACAGAAAAGATTTTGTTAATGCTAATAAACACAGTACTGCAGATCACCCTTGATTTCTAGAGCTTTGTTAATACCTTAGGCAGCTGCTGATATGACTAGGCCCCATGTGATTGCAAACTGTTGACAAATGAATACTCATAATAATCAGATTTTTTTTTCTAAAGATTTATGTTCTAAATATTTATATAAAGGGTTGGGACCCATTATACCTGGTGATTTAAACTAAAGGACACTTTGAAAGGCAGGTGCCCTGAAAGACAATTAACAAAGGTTAATTTTGGCTTTAGGTGGTCTTTAGCTTGGCTGTGGTTTTCAAGGAAGAAGGGGAATAAAATTGTTATCCTTATGAGAACTATCACAAGTTGTTTTCTTAAATTTGGAAACAGGTAGAAGGCAAAGAACTACAACAACTGTTTGTAACAGATATGCTGTGGTTGTTAAGTGCCTTTGAACTGGTTCCGACTCATAGCACCCCTGTATAGGGTTTCTGAGGTTTTACATTGTTGAGGGAGCAGAAAGCCTCATTTTTCTCCTGTGGAGCAGCTGGAGGGCTCGAACAGCACACCCTGTGTTTTTGAAGTCCAGCGGTTATTGTATGGAGCCACAGTGCTCCCATAACAAATATGAGAGGGTTTCTAAAAAGTTTGTGGGGAAATGGAACGAAAAGATATGGAAATTTCCCATGAACCTTTTAAAGCCTCCCTAGACTAGTGGTTACAAACCGGGCAGCTAACCTCAAGTTCGGCAGTTCAAAACTACCAGCCATTCCGGGGGAGAAAGAGGAGGCGTTCTGCTCTTGTAAAGATTTACAGCCTTGAAAACCCTGTGCAGGGTCACTATGAGTCGGAACCGACTCCACAGCACAAAACTACCACCACCACATTTTGTTACACTTTGAGTTGTCAAAGCTTCATCAGCAGGTCAGATCCCCAAGGCACTTGACTCTGTAGTGCCTCACGTTGATGCCTGGTGGAGATAGAGACACTGTTGTTAAGTGCTCATCCGCAAGGACAGGCTCAAGCTTGACTCTGTACGGTTTGCCTCTTCCTTTGACCTAGAGGTAATGCTATTAATTAATTAATGCAGCACTGACCCATCTTTAAGACTCAGTGACCCACAGAGACATGGATAACAGGGTATTGCATATCCATAGCACAAGGATTGGAAGGGTGCAAGCCAACTGCCAATAGTTTTTTACCTCTTGGGAGTAGAATGGGGAGAGGGGGAAGAAGAGCAAGAAGAGCAAGAAGAAAGAAACCAAGGACCCCAACTTTATACTTAAAAATGTTAGTGACAATACATTAAATAATGTTGTTTCCCACATTCTCCGTGCCCCACTCCCGTGACTTCAGGTTTTTGTTTTAAAAATGCAAGCCACTTAAAAGGACATTGTTACATTCTGGCAGCTGTTTTTCTAGCTTTGAGTATTTACATACAGCTCCCCTTGAAAAACCCAATTTTAGAAGCACACGTGGCGCTGGTTTTAAAACTTAGTTCTCTATCCCTGGCATCTGCTGCACACCTCAGCCCCGCGGTACGTAATGCAATCCGTTCTCCCGGACCCCTGTATTTCCAAGGACTCAATGGCCTTACTTTTCAGGCACTTCTTGAAGAACTTCAGAGAAACACGATCTTTTCCCAGAATCCGTATTTTAAAGGATTGCAACGTCTGTGCTTTAGGGTTTTACCACTGAAGAATGGTGGTCAGGATTCGGAATCGGAGAATGCGGCGACCAAGGGTCCTGCGGTCCCAGCTTCCCCTTGGACGCGGGAAATAGATTCCTCCAGTGTACCCTATCGGCGCAGTTTGGGCAGGTGGTCGGCGCCCCCAGCTCCAGGCGTCTGGAGACGAGGTGCATGCAGAGCTGGCTGGATGTGGCCGCTCCTGCACTAGCCATGGCCACCTCTTAGCAGGCTTCCCGCACGCAGCGCCACATTGGCACCCGAGGACTCTAGGCAGAACCCGGGAGCGCAGGCAGAGCAGGGAGCACAGCGCGGGCTGCCCGGGTGTGGCTTCGAGCTGCCAGGCGCAGTACTCACCTGAACAGGGCTCCGGCGTAATCCCGGGCAGTTTCCATCGCTTGGTGCCACTTCGCAGACCGGTCAAGGACAGTTTGGGTCACTGGCACCGCCTCTTAAGGAGCTCCTCCAGCTCTGCTCCGCCCCGGCCGTCTGGTGACACGAATAGAGTGAAGGAGGACGTGCCATGGCAGGCCGCCCAGGGCTACTGGCCTCGGGATCCGCGCCCTGTCGGGTCGCTCCTGCAGAGAGCCTCCTCCATCGCAGGTGCTTGGCGGGCCACTTGGTGGTGGCCGGCCCCTTATGCTAGCTTTGCACTTGCTGGGTTGGGGTTTCCGGTCTATCAGTGATCTCATCAGTCCCACAACATCACTGGGCAGGTGTCTTCTCCTTAAACCCACGGCTCCAGTGGAGAGAGTGAGGCTGTCCTGCTCCGGGCAGGACGCACTCAGGGTTCCTGGAAGAGCTGAGGAAGGGACTCAGAGCGGCCCATCAGGTCCCCAGAGTTGCCCCGTTTCCTTGTCTCTCACCTGCCTCCAAGTCATCACGCCATGGGCATGTGGAGGGTGAGGCAGGGGTTTCAAAACTGCAGACATGAAGGAGCCCTCCTGGGACTGCATGAATCATCTTTCAGCTGTAGGTGAGAGGCCTTCTCCAAGGAAGGGAAGAGAAAACCCGACCAGGGCTAACAGGGGGACTTGTATCCACATCTTACTTTCAGATGCTTTTATCAAGAAGATGCTATTACACATTTTTTTTTTTTTTTTTAACCATTAAAGGCCCAGGGGGAGTGGTAAGGGATTCCAGAGAGCTCTGAATAACAGAATTGATGCAAAGGTCTCCTGAGTGAATGAAGGAATGGGACAGTCACACACTTACAGCGCATTATAAAAAGGCAAGCTTTCTGGGACATTCTCTCCTGCCCATATCCAAGTGACTTGTTACCTAAATTATTAGTAACAGTGAATGGCTGTATATTGGGAACTGTGTTTCTTAGGAGTTGTAGCTTTGTTTTTCCTTGCTCAACTTGGATTTAGAACATTTAAGTAAACATTGGTCATTTAAAATTTGGCCGTTTTTGTCTGCCCTTTTCCTGAATTTAGCTAACAAAACAAACAAACATGTCCTCACCTTCAGTCTCTGATGTAAACAGCTTTATTTGATTCACAGAAAAACATTTCCTTCCAGAATTAGCTTGCCGGGAACTCTGCTGCACAGAGGCAGTGTTCCTGGGCCCAGCACCACTGGCTGGGGACAGGATTTGGAGGACCAGCAGCTGCCCCTCCCACTGACACCCCAAATTTGATAGACAAGAAAATGGGTCCAATCAACTCACCTTGATGTACAGTGGGTTAATCACTGGGCTGCTAGCCACAAGATGAGGCTGTCTGGTCAGGTAAAGATCGAAAACCATATGGGGATGTTCTACTGTATTGAGGCAGTGGATAGATTTTGCACTGTTTTTAGGAAGAGCAAAGGCAGAAAGTGGTGATGAGCTAGTCCACACAGGGCCCTCAGCCAGTGTGGGGCCAGCAAAGATAGTGCTGTGACTTCCTCAGATAACAAACTCTGGGATTGGCAGAGAGGCTGCATTGGCTGGAGAGAGACTATAAGTGGAAGAGATGGCAGGCATGAACTAGGGTTCTTACAGTGGGAAAAAGAAGAAGTGAGTGGGGACACATTTCAGGGAACTTGATGATGGACAAGAAAGGGAGAAAAGATGCTTGGAGAGACAGCAGTGCCCTGGCTGAGATAAGAAACCAGGAGGTCAGAGTTGAGATTATGCTGAAATTGACAGCCAGTGGACCAAAGTAATGAAGTGATGTGGATGGAAGTGTGGGCTTGAGCCTGGGAGCTGGTTAGAACTGGCAGTCATCTGCCTGCTCGGTGGGGAATGGCACAGTGGGAGGAGTGTGGTTGATGGAATGGAAGGAGGGTGGGAGGAGTGTGGTTGCTGGAATGGAAGGAGGGTCAGTGGGTGGTGGTCAGGGGAGAGGAGGTGCACACTGCTTTCCAAAGGGTTTGGTGTCCAAGCGCAACAGGTGGCCCAGAAGAAAATGGATGAGAACTTGAGTATGCCCAATCTGGGTGGTGAGACCTCTGGGAGGGGCGCCAGAGCCTTCAATTTTCTTTTTCACACACAAAGAAACCTCATGCATTCAACGTCATTTAATAAATCTCCATCCAGCTAAGATTAGAAGTCCAATGTTTTTGTGTTTAATAAACAGACATTTGTTGACATGGTTCCTGTATGTCTGTGTACAGTGTCTTCTGCCTGGTGCTCTGAACACACCTAGCTTTCATTTGTTCCTTGTGGCTGCTGTGGGTGGTTTGCTGTGAATGGAGCCTCTGCTTCTTCTTTAAAACCAGCAAAATTCCCTCCCTGACAGAGTCCTGGCATGTGATTGGTAGAGCCCCACTCTCACCAGTACATCCTTGAGAATATGGAGATCAGGGTTCCTAGCCTGGTCTTAACTCATTCTAGCTGGGAGAACTAGAATGAGTAACTTGTATAAGTAACTTGACTTCTCCCCAAGCCTCAGTTCCTCACCAGGGCCTGAACATCTGTGTGAGTGGTGACGATGACATGAGGAAGATGATGGGCATCTCGATGTCAGTGCCCAGTCATGAGCAAACCTCTGATACAGAAATTCCTTCTCCTTTATAGTGCATATGGGTGCTTAAAGCACAAAGGAACTTGACCAGTTACCAGTTGCTGTCAAGTTGATTCCAACTCATCTTCAGTAGCCATCTAATCCAATTGCTGTCATTTTGTAATGAAGTGGATAAAACAAAGGACTCCAAGTATAAGTCTTGGCCTTTTTACTTTCAGATTCTGTGACTGTCACTTTGGGCAGGTTTTTCTTTCCTTGTTTAATCCATTTATTCCCTTTCCTTTCCCACTCTCTTTCAACATCAGCGTCAATTTCTCTATTTCTAATAATCCTGATGATATGTATTCTGGATCAGCACTGGACTGCAAACTGCAAGGTTGGAAGATCAAACCCACCCACAGCTCCTATACAGGGTTGCTATGAGCTGGAATCAACTTGACAGGAGACTCACACTATTAATTAAATGTGTTTAAAATTGAAAAGTGTACACAATTGAATAGATTCAAGAATTTGAAAATCAAAGGAATGCTATGTTGATGGAAAAATTTCATCTACGAATCATGATGAAGGCATTATTTGGGGACACAGAGAGGAGCTTTGGCCTGGGCATCTGCATTTCTACCAGCACCAGTTTGGGTTCTAGTCCCTTTGAAACAGTCACAAACAGTGTAAGGTGGCACTGCAGGTTAATGTGCTGGACTGCAAGGTTGCTTTGAACTGCAAGGTCGCCAGTTCAATATCACCAGCCGATTCTCAGAAACCCTATACAGGGTCGCTATGAGTTGGAACTGACTCGAGGGCACTTAACAGCAACAACAACAACAAAAGTCAATCTAGGTTATGAGCTGGCAATAAGCAATGTTGAGGTGAATTCCTACAAAACCAAGGAGCATTGCTTGTGGTTAATGTAGATGTCTTTTTATTTTTATTTTTAAATGAACACTGTGGGATAAAAGGGGTAATTGAGTATGTCAGAACACAGGCTTTCTTTGGTTTTCCAATAGCATCAATCCCACACATGAAAGTGATGGGGAAAGCACAGGGCACAGAGATTTGAGCACTAACCCTGTTCCTTGTTAGGGAAGAGAGCTTGACAATCACCTAGTCTTTTTGAGATGTAGGACATTGTTAATCACAAACTTTTATTGTGCCAAGAGTCCTCAGTCTAAACAATTATTTCTCCAACTACATTGCAAGCAAAAAAGTCTTTGAATTCTGGAATGGAAAATAAGATTGTCAAGGTTTCTTATATAACTTGCATTAAAAACTCAATTTTGAACTACTGCATGCCTATGACATTTATGAGTCCCTGGTGCCTCATTAACCTTTAACAGGTTCTTAACTTTTTGAGGTTCAAGGTCCCTTACAAATTTGATAAAATCTATAGACCCTCTCTCCAGAAAGACTCCTATAATCTGTGAATGTTGTGTAAACAATTCAGGGGTTCCATGAGTCCCAGGTTAAGAAACTCTTCTCAGCTGGCAAGGGTAGTTCATAAATACACTTTTGTCCTTCCACTTAGCAAGCCCCTGTGCTGACCACTTGCAACCTCTGGGTCACTGCCCAGAGGCTGTGTTTACTGGCTGTTGCTAGGTTGAATGTTTATTTTCCTTTCAAATATAGGAACAAAGGTGATGTTCTTTTCTGTTGACTTCAATTTTTAATTTTTTCTCTTCAAAGAAAGTGCTCAGAACAGCCTTAGTCCTGGCCCTCCTGACTGGTCAGAAGGTCAAGACAAGGCATACTCCCCCCAAAAAGTGTCCTAGTTCAGTGGTAGAATTCTCGACTTTGTGCAAGAGAACCAGGTTCAGTTCCCAGCCAAGCCTTCTCATGCACAACTGTCGGTCAGTTGTAAATTTCATGTTACTATGATGCTGAACAGGTTTCAGCGGAGCATCCAGACTAAGACAAACTAGGAAAAAAGAATGGGAAATCTATTTCTGATAAATCAGTCATTGAATACCTTATGGAACACAGTTGTACTCCGACACACATGGGGTTGCGATGAGTTGGATCAACTCCAATGTCACTTTTTTCCCCCCTAATAATTTCCTTTTTAAAAACTTATCTCAAGATCTGAAAAGCCTGCAAGGGGTTATTCAAGCCACCAATGTTCTCTCTTCACCTGGAGCAGCAAAAGAAGATGGAGGGTTAGGAATAGGAGGAGGAAATGGAATGTGTGCCTAATTGCTTCCATAAACAAATTCCTTCTTTGCCAGGAGATCAGAACTGCATAGTGCCTGGCTGCCATTACTGAACATTTTGAGCAAAGATTCTATAGAATAATCCATGTCAGAAGAGGAAAAATACAAGACAGAATTTCAAATTCTCATGGGATATAGACTTTCTGGATCTACTGAGACTTGATGAAACTTCTAAGATAAACTTTAAACCTAAAACCAAAAATATCCCCTAAATCTTTTTAAAACCAAATATTGTTGTGG